CCCTAATATGCTGGCAAGTATCGTGAGGTGAATGTGGCATCCCTCTGCAGAGTGACCACTATTTCAGCCCTTTGTGACCATGCCTCCAACCTGATACGTTATTGTCAGAAAACCCTTTCCTCTGAGATGAATTATTTCCGCCCCAGGATTGTGTTAGTTCTCTTTTGTGACGCTCTTGTTCATCACAGGGAGTGGAATCAGAAGTTACTGCACCAAAATGGACAGAATGAAACAATGCGACTCCTTCCTGTTGTTTTCACACCTGAGAATCCAGCATGTCCTGAGGACCCCTTTTCTGCCCTAGCATGCCACATATGGAAGGGCAAAGGTCTGCAGCAGGTCGCTTCCTGTACCTGCGGAGCCTCCTTTCCATTTTAGAACCCTGTGGGAGGTATTTGGTAGTGATGAACCCAGGAAGTTACAGCTGTCCCTTGCACAACGAAAATTCCATGTACAGACTGAATGCCTAATTAGAGCTTACGTATATAGTACTTGACAAAGATTTGGTGTGACTGGTCTCTATTCCAAGGCTGTAGAAATGTTCACACAGGGAAGGAATATGCATTATTTCAGTTGGTTTATATGCAGGGTCATCCTGATGTTGTGGGACTACAACTCCCTTCATCCCTAATGGATGGGAGTTGGGAGTCCAGCAACATCTGGAGTGCTAAAGGTTCACCATACCTGCAGCTGTGGCAAGGAGGTTATGCCAAAGATTTCACAAGAAAGGTGAAGGATTGCAGGGACAGGCACAGAAGCATTTGGGCAGTGGGCAGTTGGCTTTCCAGGGAGCCAAAGTCCTTCAGAAGGCTGACGGAAGATGGATAAGGGAGCATCACAAGAAGAGATGTTTTGCTTTCATGGAAAAAAATAGTGCTGCTATGATTCGTAAAGATGATGGTTCCTCTTACCAGGTATGAAGATAGCCATGTGTTAACTTCCATATGGTGAGCAAGAATTGTTTTTAGGTGACCAAGCAAGGGTGCTGTTTCCTAAGAGAGTTGTTTCTGCGTGTTTTGTTTCTTCCAGGCTATTAGGGACAATTTTTGAAAGCTAGCAGCATGTAGGTCTTCTTTCAAGACTACATTCTTCTTTGGGGGTTTTATGCATCTTAATACTAATTTTCCTACATCTTTGTTTTAGCGGCTTTACAGCTCTTTAGTTTAATTGAAGCCCGTGGATGTAACATCTCTCTCTCTCTCTCTCTCTCTCTCTCTCTCTCTCTCTCTCTCATATTCTCTTTGACCAGCAGGACTGACTCAACCATTAGGCAGGGTGAGGCAGCTACATCAGGTGGCAGATGCCGTAGATAGTAACAGCTGCTTGCCCACCCCTGTTCCCCCTTAAGCTAGCCTGCTCTGAGCCACCTAAGGCAGTGTTTCCCAACCGGTGTTCCGCGGCACACTAGTGTGCCGCGAGACGTTGCCTGGTGTGCCGTGGGAGGGAGGCGGGCGAGTCGGGCGGCGAGAGGCGGGGCGGCGGCGGCATCTCCTGCTGGATGCAAATCCAAACATGGCGGGCGCCTCCCTCGCTCCTTTGTAGGCGGACCATCGAGAGAGAAAGAAAAGGAGGCGAAAGAGCGAGAGAAGGTGCCTGCGCGGAAAGAGGAGCGAGCAGTGCGCCTGCGCGCCGCGGCGCCCGAGTGCAGTGAAATTCCGTGAAGAGGGGAGGGGGGGCTGGAAAAGAGAGAAAGGAAAGATTTTTCATTTTTTTAAAAAAAAAAAAAAGGAAGAGGGAAAGAAGAGAAAAAGCGGCAGAAGCTGAGGGGAAGGTTTCCGTGAGGGAGAGAGAGAGAGAAACGCGGGGCTGGCGGGACCCCTCCTCTTCCGCCACGCGTCACCCGCCACCGCCTCAGAATCTCCTCAGGAGCGGCGGCGGCTGCTCCCCCTCGCCCCCTTCCTCCCCCCCCAGCCCCCTCCCAACCCCCGGACGAGGGACGCGAGGCGGCGGCGCTGAGAGGACGGGAAGGCCCCCGGCGGCGGGGTCGGCTCGAGCAAGGAGGGGCGAGCGCTAGCCGGCTGGCTCTAGCCCGGCAAGAGGAGGAGGAGGAGGAGGAGGAGCACGCCGTCGCTTCCACAGCGGCCGCCCCACACTCCCCTCCCCGGGCACCGGCGGGGAGAATGACGGAGCTCCAGTCCGCGCTGCTACTGCGGAGACAGCTGGCAGGTCGGTCCGTCCGTCGGTCAGGGCAAAACACACCACAGCGCAGGCAGAGGCAGGCAGGCCCGTCTCTCCCTGCCCCCCCTCGGACCTGGCCGGCCTGGGGTTTGCACCCCAAACATTCATGTCCACCCCAGCTACACAAGCCACACCTTGCTCTCAGTTCGATCTGTCAAATAACTCACCTATCATTCACATAAAGAACCTAGTCTATCCTCAAACGTCAGAATGTACCTCCTCTCTAGCTTCCCCCACTTCATCTAGGCACTTTCAGCCCTTACTTAACCCACCCCAGCCTGCTTACTCTTCCTTCATTTGCTATAAAAACTAAATACAGAGAGAGACTGAGAGCTGTTGACGAAGAGCTACGTGTGTGTCTTTCTTCGATTCCAGCCAGAATATCAGCTTTGTGTTCAGCCAAACAGTCCCAGGTTGCGCACTGAATAAAGTATTTTATAATTTTTCATATTTCTGTTTACTTACAATTTCATAATAAAGTAATTATAAAATACTTTCTTTGTGTTTATTTGATTCCTATTAAAGAGAGTTACTTTATATATAGTCAATATAGGCACAGAGTTAATTTTTTAAACATTTTCTAATGGTGGTGTGCCTCAAGATTTTTTTCATGAAACAAGTGTGCCTTTGCCCAAAAAAGGTTGGGAAACACTGACCTAAGGTATACTGCTGCCTTCAGGTAGAGTGGAAAATGTTGTCCTACTGCCCATGTTGAAGTAAGGTTCGATTTGCCCAGCCCAATTGGATTCTGTACATTGGGCAAGAGGGGGCACCAGCTTGTCCATCGCCTCAGGCAGCAAAATGTCTTGGACCAGTTAACTTAGTCAAAAATGGCAAATCTTGCAACTGTTCTCAACAGTTCTCAACTGTTCTTATTGCCCCGGGGGAAAGATCCAAGAGACAAGGCCCGATCTCAGCAGTCTAGAATGATCACACTTTCCTCAGCCTTGTATATGAAAGGGGGGAGGCGGATGTTACTGCAGCCCTTTTGTCACTGCTTAGCCCCACTCCTAAATAAAACAGCAGAGAGACCAACAATTTCCCCGCTGCTTTCTCTTCCTTTCACTGTGGGAGGGGAAGATAGGCTTCGGTCCTTTGATGTGCATTGTAAATCCATTGATGATGCCTTGTGTGTGCGCTCATGTGAGTCAGGACCAGCCCCAGTTCCCTTTGAAGTGCTCCAGCGACCAGGATGAAAGTGGGATGGAGGGGGAAGAGTCCTTCCCAAGCCATCAAGCCCTAATTGCAGGTAATAGTGCCCTTCTGTGTCCCATATGGGGAGGCGAGCATCCCTGTTTCCCCTAATCTTGCAGTTACATTCTGGGCTCCTGCAGTGAAAGGAAGTAAGCACACAGGGAACAGGCTCAGAGAACTCAGCCAGCATGTTGGGAAATAGCTCCTGGCTGCAAGATGCACGAGGGAACAGTTGGAAGTTCCTTGGTGAAGAGTTTAAAGTACCTAGAGCATAGGAAGATCTTTTCTAGGGATTTTGCTAGGCTGTTGCCAATTCATACGTTTATTATTATTTTTTCAAAAATGAGGTTAGGATGGGGGGGGGGGCGGTTTGCACCAGTGTGGCAATTTCATTCTTACAGAAGGTGGTGGCGCAGAATGCATGAAAAGGAACAGCAGTTGGTTTGTGCAAACGGTGTGGTGGAGGAATATATTAGGGCCTTGGTTTCTTCGCCACTCTGAAACTTACAGCCATGTCAGCTTGTTCCATTATAGTGGAGGTTGCAATGTTTGGTACTTTTTAGATCAGAGTTAAGGTGCCATGATAGAAGTCAGCAAACTAGACAAAACATACAAACACAGGAAAGTACCTTAGGCTCAGATCATGGAGTCAGTCTAGCTCTGTGCTGTTTACACTGGCTGGCAGCATCTCTCTAGGGTTCCAGTCTTTGCCAGTTCTGTCAAGATATGTTGAGTGCTGTTGAGCATGTGCACCAGGTATGGGAGCAGGGGTTGGGGGGAGTTAGCCCTTTTTTGCCATACCATATTCTGGATGCGGATACAACTCCCCACTCGCCTGCTGCTGTACCTCGTTAGGAAAAGCTTACACGTCACTATAACAAGGTATATAGCTTGTTGCAGGCTGTTTTTGTCAAGGAAAATGGCACAAGGTAGTAAGTATTAATCCTGCCCCCTACTTACTCGTAGAGGCGCTGTGGGTTAAACCACAGAGCCTAGGGCTTGCTGGTCAGCGGTTCAAATCCCCACAACAGGGTGAGCTCCTGTTGCTCGGTCCCTGCTCCTGCCAACCTAGCAGCCTGAAAGCACGAAGTGCAAGTAGATAAATAGGTACCGCTCCAGCGGGAAGGTGAACGGCCTTTCCGTGTGCTGCTCTGGTTCGCCAGAAGCGGCTTAGTCATGCTGGCCACATGACCCAGAAGCTGTACGCCAGCTCCCTTGGCCAGTAAAGTGAGATGAGCGTCGCAACCCCAGAGTCATCCGGTCAGGGGTCTCTTTACCTTTACTCACTCTTACCACCATGATCCTCAGGCCCCTTCAGTTGCTTATTGGCCTTGTTTTCCAAAGCTGGGAGATCCTATTGTGGATTTCTTTTTAAAAAATTAACTCCAATGCAAGTGTTTCTGTATGTTGAAAGATGTTTATTAGTTGAAAGGCATGAATGCAATGCCAGAACCAATAATTGGCCAGTGTGGTGTAGTGGTTAAGAGCAGTGGACTCCTAATCTGGTGAACCGGGTTCGATTCCCCGCTCCTCCACATGCAGCTGCTGGGTGACCTTGGGCCAGTCACACTTCTTTGAAGGCTCTCAGCCTCACTCACCTCACAGAGTGTTTGTTGTGAGGGAGGAAGGGAAAGGAGATTGTTAGCCGCTTTGAGACTCCTTCGGGTAGTGATTAAGTGGGATATCAAATCCAAACTGTTCTTCTTCTTATTTGCACATGTAAGCAAATAGTTTTTAGAATCTCTCCCCTCCTGGTTATGGATTCCGTGTGATGCTTCTGCCATGCAAAAAGGTAAAGATGCAAAGTGCGGCGCGGCACCAGTGAAAAGCTATCGTGGGGGCCGCATTTTGATGGTTCTGTAGAAGAAGAAGAAGATAGTACCAGAAGCATGTTAGTGAGCAACCAAGGTTTCTGAGCCTGCAGGCTAGAAATGGAGGACATGTAGCCCTCCAGATATGGTTGGATTACAACTCTCACCATCCCTGATCACTGTCCATGCTGGTTGGGTCTGAAGTCCATCTGAAAGACTGGAGGAGATTCCACACTCCTGCTGTAACAGAGAAAGTTGGGAAGAACGGATTGAAAAATAGCTGGGCTGGCATGGGGGGGCGGGGCCTCAGATCAAACTCATTCACTTGTGTGTAGCAAGTAAACTGACCTTAAATGGGGTGGTCCTTGAAAGTTAAAAGAAAAAAAGCACAGGGATAATGTAGTCTGAGCCATGAAGGACTGATCAAAAACCAGGTGAGATGCACTAGCATAATTATCTGTAGGCGTTCATAGTAAGCCCAAGGTATAGGAATGTGCATGCTTAAATATGGTGTGTTTGAAGAAGAAGAGTTTGGACTTGATATCCCATTGTTCACTCTCCTTAAGGAGTCTCAAAGCGGCTAACATTCTCCTTTCCCTTCCTCCCCCACAACAAACACTCTGTGAGGTGAGTGAGGCTGAGAGACTTCAGAGAACTGTGACTAGCCCAAGGTCACCCAGCAGCTGCATGTGGAGGAGTGGGGATGCGAACCCGGTTCACCAGATTACGAGTCCACTGCTCTTAACCACTACACCACACTGGCTCTCTTGATATCTCAGACCAGTATTCTGGCCCATTCACAGCTCATTAATCCAGTGGGGCAAGTTGCTGACATGCCTAGTGCCCACTCTTATCTTGCCCCTGGTGTGAGAAAAAGAAAGCAGCTAGATCTCAGTTTTCATGAGGCAACGGAGAATGGTTCTGATGATGCTTCCGTCGCTGCCTCTCATTGCCAGATCTCTACTTCATCCGACACGGCTTCAATCAAAGAAGACGAAATGCCGCAGTCTAACAAGGTCCGGAACCTGAGGCGAAATGGACGGGCCATGCCACACAGGCAGAAACGCCGTTGGCCACTGCAACATGCTGCAAGGAACCAGTTGGCATCACTCCAGCCAGGTGGCGCAACCCAGGAGGAGAGCACGCCCTTTGTGCTGGACTTGAAGAACCTGCCAGGCTTAGCCAACGTGGACCTGAGTGCCCAGAATCCAAATATACAGGTAGGCCAATGGGCTTAGGGCTGTGTTGATTAGACTCGGAACAAACAAACAACAAACAAACAACAAACAGTGGCACCATCTGTAGTTCACTTAGAACTGACCCGTGCTTTGGGGTAGTTGGTCTTGACTTGGACTCCTGGAGCATGGACAGAAGAGGGAGGGAGGGAGATTCCATAGTTGCAGAACAGCTGCCAAGAATGCCTTTCTGTATGCCCATGTCTCAGGGGTTAGATGCAAAAAAGACTAAAATCCAAAGAGGTGCCTTCAGACATGAGGATTATTGCATTAGTTTTCCTAGCTATAATGCTAGCCCTTCTGTCCCAGTTTCTAATGTTTCTTTTGTACTTCGTTACCTGTTGCATTATGGAACGGTCGCCTTTCGATCGATATACAGTGGTACCTCAGGTTACATACGCTTCAGGTTACATACGCTAACCCAGAAATAGTACCTCGGGTTAAGAACTTTGCTTCAGGATGAGAACAGAAATCGTGCTCCGACGGCGCGGCAGCAGCAGGAGGCCCCATTAGCTAAAGTGGTGCTTCAGGTTAAGAACAGACCTCCAGAACGAATTAAGTACTTAACCTGAGGTACCACTGTGCTGCCATGTCACACTAAATTTCATTCACACCAGTGGGTGTGGTTTGGCAAAGCAACAAACACCATTGGTTTAACACAAAGAAAAACGGCTTGTACTTGTTTTTGAAACACAGGGCTTGTGTATAGAGAGCCCCAATAGCAGAGTTTAAATCTCATTGTAAGGCAGATTTAACTGAAGCATAGGAAAAGGTTTTTTATCTTCTTTTTAATCAATCAATTAATTTAATAACAACAACAACAACAACTACTATTATTTTATTATTATTTTATTTACACCCTGCCCATCTGGCTGGGTTTACCCAGCCACTCGGGCGGCTTACAGCATATCTAAAAACATAATAAAAACATCAAGTGTTTAAAACCTGCCGATACAGGACTGCCTTCAGATGTCTTCTAAAAGTTGTGTAATTCTTTATCTTACTGATATCTGAAAGGAGGGCATTCCACAAGGAGGGTGCCACTACTGAGAAGGCCCTCTGCCTGGTTCCCTGTAACTTCGCTTTTTGCAGTGAGGGAACCAGCAGAAGACCCTCAGAGGAGGACCTCAATGTCCGGGCTGAGCGATGCAGGTGGAGACACTCCTTTGGGCATTCCAGCTCCTTAAGGCAGCTGACCCTCCCCCCCCCTTTCAATAAAACAGACTGCAAGGTAAGTTTAAAAATGATTTACTTACAGTTACTAGGTCTCAAGACTTGCATTTTCCTTAGTAAAAATGATAAAATGTTGGTAAATATTCTTAGTTGAGAAATATACAGCAAGAGCAGCCTCACATACATATATGTGAGACAGAGTAAAGTTGAGGCATACCTGTGCAGCGTGGCAGAGAGAAAAAGGAACAGGAAACAGGCCTTCCTTCCTCCCTCCTTGGAGAAGAGGGGATGTGACATCATAGAGCTTACTCTAGTAATTTAGGACTCTATGGTCCTTAACCCCTTCACACACTAAGTAGCACTGTTGGTATGACTGCAAATTTCCTACATAATCTCCATGAGCACAATATGCTTCTTTGTCTTGTTCAGTGCTTTGCAAAGTCGCTAAGATCCTCTTGTAAAATGGTAACTTCATCTTGTGCTGCAGCCCTAAGCACACTTACTTTTGATGTGGCTCTACAGAGCTTACGTGTGACTTACTTCTGAGTAAGCATGCATATACTCTTGCTTATAGTGGTAGAACTACTTCCACTTTGCCCTCCCCTGCCCTGTTAAACAGTCACAGACACTTGGCCATGCAGTGTGTGACTTTTGAAAACAGCTTTCTTTAGTATCCTTAGTGGCTTATTATATGCACTTAAGTAGAAAAGCAGTTTTGCAAGCAGGGTTTGGGACATGACCTAACTGGATTGATAATGGGGCTCCATGGAGAATTATTGGACATTGAGTGAGTGTCTTGGTCAGCACTAAACAGAGAGAGAAGTGGTAAAAGCTAGAATGGGCAAATACATGAATGTAGGATGTACTGTTGCTCTTAAAAGAACCCCACAGTGCTTTAGTGGTGGTGCCCCGTAAACCCTCTTACCCAGTGCCATTACTTGCAGGTGACCATTGAGGTCGTGGATGATCCTCAGGCTGAGATGGAGATGGACCTGCTGAAGGAAACTAGCAATGACTGGTCTCTGACCTCCTCTGAGTGGCTGTCCCACAAAGACCTCTTCTGGCCACTTTTCTGGGAGTACACGGACCCCATGGAGGAAGGGGAGGAAGGGGGAAATTTGGACATTAGGAGCAGGGGGGAAGAAGAAGATGATGACGAAGAGGAGGAGGATGACTACACTTCAGAGTATGATGAGGAAGAAACGGTGCTGAGTGGAGTGGGAGGTGACTGGGACCAGCGGTGGCCCCATCAGAAAAACTGGATCTTCAAAGAGAAGTATAATTACGGTGAGGCTCCCTTTGCTGCCCTTGGTAGGTCTACAGAGTTGCGTTAACTCATTGACTGTTAAGGGGCAGGAGAGCATTTTCAGGAGAGAGCAAGAGGGTCTTTTCAGTTCATTATCTCCTCTGTTCCTCTCCAGTTAATATGAGTGGTCCAGCTGATTTGTTATGGGGAAATCTGGGATGTATCCAACTGAAATGCCTGCATTATTCCAGTAATCCCAATAAGCATCCTTCCATATTTGTGCTTTCTCTCCTGTACATATGCTTGAGAATTCCTAATTTAAACCCATTTGTGAAGTTGGTGGGCAAGGTCTGCTTTATGTGATACTAACTCGTTATGCAGACTGAGAGAGAGAGAGAGGAGAGGAAGATTTGCATGTCCTCTTTTTCCGCTGTAGATACATCAATGTGACAATTGTGTATATTGGAAAAACACTTTTGCTCTGCCCTCCATATTGCATAATGTGCGTGCATTTTGCAACATGAAATGGAAAATATAACCTATGAAGTGACTGCAAATCAGGCCCAAAAGATCTTGAGCCATTAGGTAGGGTAACCCTTGACATTTTAGGCACTGTATGGCCAAAACCAGACCAATGTGCAAAATTCTGGGAATCACAGCTTTCATTTAAAAGTGGGGCGGAGTGCCTGGCAGGAAAAGCAGGTGAGGTGGCACACGCCAGACTCCTCTTCTGGATTTCTAGCTGCACAATATAGGTTTGGGTGAGAGATCTAGGCTGCTGGGTGATAAGGGAGAAATGTGTGTGAGAGAGACCTTTTCTTACGCTCTCCAGACTATGAAGATGAAGAGGAGTGGAGCCCTTGGTCTCCGTGCACTGTAACCTGTGGCACTGGCAACCAGAAAAGAACCCGGTCTTGTGGCTACGCATGCACTGCAACGGAGTCGAGGACCTGTGACCTGCACCGCTGTCCTGGTATGCCTTTTCTCCTTCCACCCCTGCCTTGTTTTCTTGTCTGCCTCTTGTTCCCTCTTCAAAGCTCCTGCAGTTAACTGCAGCTTTCTCATCTGTAAAGAGAGTGACCCCTCTATTTTGAGAGGATCCCTTTTCAAACATCCCAAGAGGACTGGGGTGAGTTTCCAGTAGGGATGCTTGTGGTCTGACTCTCTGGCAAAAGGTCATTTCCATTCTGACATCTCAGGTGCTGAGAACACCACTCTTCTCCTCATGGTTGTATGTTCCATTTGTGCAATGATTTCCACTTGTGCAAAGGAGCATCTTTTCCCTCTCCTTCCCTGCTCTGTGGCCTGTGCCTTAAATCTGCTCATGGGGTCCCTCCAGCCCTCTGGAGCAGATTGGGGGAGTGTGGGGAGAAGAGAGGGAAAGGACGTTTTGCTGCACAAATGGAAGGCGTTTCTCAAACAGGACAATTGTTGTATACATTGCTCTCGTGTGTTGATAAAAGTGCTGCGGTTGCCAGCATAAAATGGCTGCCATCGGCTGCAATAAAAGAGGTGAGGTACTCTGTACTGGTGAGTACTGTCGCCAAAATCACTGGTTATGTGCAACCCCGTCTCCTATTTTACATTGCTTGCACGAAATGAAGCACTTTGTGAAAAGGGGTGTCCCTCTCCATGAGGAATTGGTTTCAGAGTAATGGTGGCTCTCCAAATATTGTTGGATTTCAGTTCCTATCACCCTTATCGCAGTCAGGCATAATGGGAGTTGTTGTTCAGCAATAACTGATGGTCGCAGGTTATCCATTCTTGCTTTCAGAAAACCATTTTTTCCCATCCTGATAATCATTTCAGTAACTCCTTTCTTTTCTCTGACACATTTTATATATAAGGCCATCAACTGAAAGCCTACTCAGAGTGTTATGGGTCAAAAGCAAACTTTGGGCCTATATGTGTGTGTCTGTGTCTGTCTGTATCACATTTTGGCCTGGGAGTTGTGGACAGGAAATATATACAGAGTTGGAGATTGAAGCCCAGCTACTGTAACACCTTTGAAGTGGCATGTGGTTCCCCCCTGACCCTTTTGCTTCTGTGCTTCCCTCAAGGAGCAGATGGGGAGTTGTCTCTTGCCACAGAAGAGACACCATTTGAAGCTGAGAATGCCACAGAGATCCTGAACTCAGGTCAGTAAATTCCAAATGAGCACAGCTACGCTAAGAAATTGCACAAGGAGCTGAGCGAGTGAATTGATCATAATCTTAAGGTTGTCTCACTTTCTTATGCACACACCTGTATTCTCTCACTCTTCTCTCTCACTCTGTCACACACGGCCTGCACTTTTGAAGTCTTCACTTGTTCCTGCCTAGGCAGAAGGGGCACCTTTCCCTTCCCAGGTTAAGGCCACATTTTGAAAGCACACTGCTTCTCTCCCTGGACTGCCTTTTCCAAGCTCTGTGCTGCTCTGGATCGAAGGGGCAGAGCCATTAGAGAGACTGTGGACCTCTCAGTTAAAGGATCTCTCTGGAATGAGGGCTGGGAGGCGGGTGGGGGAGGACATTGCCATGGGGAACCTTTTTCAGCCTGAGAAACGTATTGCCTCCTTCCAGGGGCTGTTTGCCGCTGCTGCACATGTCCCAAAGCAGAAGTGGGTGTGGATATTGCCAAAAGTGGCCAGGGCAATGGATATGTCTCTTCCCTTTGTGCAGTAGGCTACATTCCAGAGGTTTATGCACACCCCCACATTACTCCATCCTGCACCCATCCAAGCAAGAGGCATTGCCCCAATTCAGGGACACATTCCCGTCCAGCAAAATCGCTCAAGTTGAGGGCCAGTGTGGCATGTGACTTGGGAAGAGTCCCAAGAGGACAGGGAAGCCTAGAATATGGCTCCCCAACTTGGATCTCCAGATGTTTTTTGGACTACAATTCCCATCATCCCTGACCACTGCTCCTGGTAGCTAGGGATGATGCGAACTGTAGTCCAACAATAGCTGGAGGCCCACATTTGGGAAACTCTGGCCTAGAGGGTCACATTCAGCCTCTGGGCCTGCGATTCCCTGCTCCTGATTTAGTACCACCCAAGATAAGCTGTCAACGGCATGTTGTTTTGTCTGACGGCCGTTTCTCTCTTCCCCCTGTACCCTTTCCTCAGATGTGGACAGCTGTGAGAAGTGGCTCAATTGCAAGAGCGACTTCCTCAACAAATACCTGAGCAAAGTCTTGTCGGACCTGCCCAGCTGCCCCTGCTCCTACCCGCTGGAAGCCGTCTATAGCGCCGTCAACCTGCGGGACGAGCGGCAGGGCAAGAGCTTCCGCTGGCGAGATGCCAGCGGGCCCAAGGAGCGGCTGGACATCTACAAGCCCACGGCCCGCTTCTGCCTGCGCTCCATGCTCTCCCTGGACAGCACCACGCTGGCTGCGCAGCACTGCTGCTACGACGAGAGCGCCAGGCTGATCACGCGGGGCAAGGGGGCTGGGGCCCCCAACCTCATCAGCACCGAGTTCTCCCCCGAGTTGCACTACAAGGTCGATATGCTGCCCTGGATCCTCTGCAAAGGGGACTGGAGCAGGTACCACGCCGTGAGGCCTCCGAATAACGGGCAGCGGTGTGCTGACAACCCCCCAGAGGAAGAATACCTCTCTCAGTTACAGGAGGCCAGGGAGTATTAACGCAGAAAAAAACAACCCAAAAGACGTGGAGAGCAGGACATTTTTGGTCTCCCGCGCGACTAGGGAGTATAACAGGGCCTCTTTTCTTCTCTCTCCTCCCCTCAGCTTTTATGTCAACAAAGGCCTCCGCTTCAGAATGGCTACAGAGCCGCTGCTTGTTTTGCATTCCCTTGGTAACCAGGTAGTCTGTAGGAAACCTTAGTGCAAACTCTACAGTGGCTTCTGCCCTGTCTTCTACATAGGGGCCTCCAGTTTCTTTCCTGACTTCCTCGTTACCCAAAAGTTGCCACAATTGGCCCAAATGGGCTGTACCAGAAGGCTTGCTATGGCCATCCTGAGGGATTATAGGGATGGGAAGAGCCAGAGGGAAGGGGGGGGGGAGGTGTCTTTCAAAAGGCCCATTGTGACTCGTTTTATACTGCACACAAGCTGTCGCTCAAAGGCAGACTGGGAGATCTTACGGCCTAAAACTCTAATCGGGTGCTTGAAGGTTTTGCATAGAGTCTGTAAGCAGTCTCCAGGTGGATGACTCAATACACCTAAATTCTGTTTTCAGCTAAAAGGGAAACTTGGTTGGACATATTGAGAGTGACAGATCTGGCTTCAAGCATCTGTTGTCTTGATGTAGTCCTGGGGCAAGAGAAAGGATGATGTTCCACACAGTTTGGGAGAAACTGGTATGGAGGGGTGCTGGATTGTGTGTGCGTGCTTTGGGATGTAAGTTCTGGGATGTATTGTGAAAACACATCCCCTAAAGTGGATGAGTGGCAGATGAAGCCAACCCTTCTTGCTGGGTTGATAGAACAATCTGGGTCTCATTTCTACCCAGCAAGTCTGATAAGGAAGCAAGCAAATGTTTTAAAACTTATTATTCTCTTCAGGCCAGAGGCAGGGCAGAAAACTAAGCCCAACTCATTTATAAGACTCCAGGGGAGGAATTGAACATCTTGCCCTTCTGATCATTCTGTCAACACAAGCATTTCGGCTTGCAAGACGGGACAGTCCTGAGCACAGTTCCCAAGCTTCCCCCCCAAAAAAACCCTGAACCAATTGGAGGGGCAGGGGGAGGAGAGTTGGGGGCAGGGTGAAGTCCTTGTTCAAGGCTTCTGCTGACAAGACTGAATAGTTGAATCCTAAGCCAGGTGTCCTCGGAAAAGTTGCAGTTCTGAGCAACCTCAGTCAATAGCATGGGAAAGAACAAAGTCCATGTCCTCCAGCCAAACCATTTCAATTTCATATACCAGAGGTAGCCAACACAATTCTTTCCAGTTGTTGGACACCACCTGCAACATCTGGAGCTCCAGACAGCACAGCCAGTAGTCAGGGATGATGGAAGCTGTAGTTCAGCCACATCTAGCCACCCCTGATATAGAAGTTCATTCTGAGTTTTGGATCTGATGTTTGGCAGAGGATTGGTTGGAACAACCCAGTCATGGATTTCTCACATTGCTGTTTGGTTTCTCAACTTGGGAGGGAAAGATCCAACTTCCAATTTTCATCTTTCTGTTTTGTTTTGGGATTTTAACTTTTGGTCTAGTTCCTTTATCGTTGGCAGTAAAGGGACGGGTTTGCCTCTTGATACAGTGGATGACAGCTGGGTTGTGAGTGAAGGAATTAGTCCTAGAGCTATTGGTGCTCTAGAGCTTTAAATAAAGCAAGCCCACAATTCTGTGCAAAGTAGTTGTGCAAACTTGCATATCTGTCTTGCACAATTTAGTCTACTTTTCCTAGTTTTGAAGAAGGGCAAAGAGCCATCAGACTGAATCCCTTGTTTTCTCTTCCATTTTGTGAAATTTTGCCAGGCATCAGCTGGAAAGGTGTTCCTTTTTTTAAAAAAAATTAAACTTAAAATTTTAGGGTGCTAAATTTTGTACTCAGTACCAACTTCCACATTTGCATGCAGAGCATAGCCGCCGCCATTTTAGTACTCTCTGGTAGCCAGAAAGTCTGCCTAGGCGCTCCTAATCTTTTCTCTGTACTTTGAGAACTAGGAGGTTTCTCTTCTCTTAATATTAAAGGTCATATTTTCAAGATTCTGTATTATAATGTAGCTTCTGCATTATCTGTCATGCAGATTCCTACGACAACGTTCACCCTTCCCTGATGCTCTGTAAGGTGTTTGCCAGCTTGGGGACACATCTCTCGTTCCTGCTGAAGTCAATAGCAATAACTCTAATTGGTTTGCAATCAAGTAAGATTGCTGCCTTGGCCTTTATACCAAGCTTCTTTTGAGCCAAGGCCACATTCATGCCATACTTTTAAACCACTGTTACCATTTTTAAAAGTTGTGGCTTCCCTCAAAGAATTATGGGAGCTGTAATTCATTCAGGATGCTGAGAGTTGTAGGAGAAGCCTATTCCCATCATAGAGCTCCCACAATTATTTGGGAGGAGCTGTGATTATTTATAGTGGTAGCCTAGTGCTTAAAATGTATCATGTGAAAGTGGATTTGGCCGCTGACTCCAAGGACAGGAGCCTTTTGTTGGACAATGATCCAGAGTCCAGAACCATCTTCTTTCACAGGACATGCACAGCCAGAAATTGGAGGCTTGTGTGCTGTCCCTTCTTCTACCAGTTTTATTAGTGATGTCTTAAGTTTATGGAACTTCACCTTATGGCCTTTAGTCCCCTTTAAGTGATGATTGGCCTTATAGGCATTCCAGCAAATTTTGTTGTGTGTTCCTGGCGGCACAACATGTCTGGCAGACTCCATGATGGACAAGCCATGATCTCAAGATGTTTGGACCACTCAAGACTGTTGGGGGAGAGAAGAAGTATGTCAGCTTGGGCATTGCAACAAGACCCTTCTTTCTTTTTAGAGTATCTCCCTAAAAAAACACCAAAGCCTCTCTTTCTCCCTTAAAGCTCACGTTTATTGCTCAGGACTGACACAGGCTGTTGGACTGGGATGGTTCTGCTATGGCATCTAGTAGCTACATTAGGAATCAGTAGGTCTGCTGTCTTATCTAGACTTCCTGAGTGAAAAATGTACCTGCGATCCTGGAAATAACGAAGCTGCTAGGGAGTTTTGTCCTATTCTATTGCTCGCTTCTATCTTCTGCTTCTGTCTCCAAACAGAATCTTAAGCTGGTGCATTTTGCTGCATTCAGTGGCTTGGCTTGTTTATGGCTCTACCTTGTAAGTTGCTACCATCAGATGCTGTCATTCTCTATCCCAGGATTAGGTGAGCTTTTCTGTTGGGGGCCACATTCCCAGGCAGAAATAGTCTGTCAGGGGCCACATTCCAACAGCACGTGGGACCCAGAGTCAAAGGTAGGTGGGGCCACCTCCTTTCTTTCTCTCTCTGCCACCCTCTTTCCCCATATTTTTGCCCTGAAACTAGGTCCAGGACTATGTCTTAGGGCCACAGGTCATGTCCCCCTCCTGCTGCAGCCCTTTCTTTGTGGCATCTTCTCTCAGCTCAGGCTGTTGTGTTTAGATAATTGTGCTCATAAAACCAAAAAGTGTGCTGGCAGAGAAAATAAGTGTTTGGGAAGAAGAAGCACAATGAAATAAATTTGAATACTTTGGGGACAACAGCAAGTGCAGGCAGATGAATGCGGAAAGTTGCTGGTGAAGCCAAAATGAAGGCTGCAGCCTGCCGCTTACTGATTTTTGTACTCCCAGAGCCTTCTTATTCCACACCCCTCCTATTCCCTATCACGGTCCTGCTCACATCTGATATAGCGGGGTCCATTGTCAATAAATGTTGATCTTTAATTGCTCACAGGCAAAGAATAGCCAACTGTTGACCCACTGGCAAAATGTGTCCCACAACAAAAGGTAGGCATAGCTTGACCCGGCAGTGGGTGGAGCCAAAGTGGGTGGAATTTGAAGGCTTGCAAAATAGCTGTCACCCCTCAATCCCTTCTCTCTCTCTCCTGTCTTTGCTCACATACAAACACGTAAAGGGGAAGTGATTTCAAGGAGGACTTCTCAAAGAGCAACAGTGAGACTAGATAACAATGGGGAAAGCCTTAGCTTTCATCATTGGGTGGGTGGAGCATGTATGAGTCACAGATGCCTGTCGGAGTTTGATCTCTGTACCACTAGCGTATCAAATGCCACTGTTTTCACAAGCACCTTAGACTCCCAGAAAGTGTTGCGGTCTCATTTGGGTGAGTATATACCAAGGAACAAGGGTTTATTTTTATACCATGTAACTAAGATTCTGTCTGGCGATTTCTATTTAAGCTATATTAAAAAGAAAAGAAAAAAGTATTGTATATTGTCCCTGCCACATAATTTTATTGCTATATCAGCACACTGTTGTATAAAGATATTGTTAGTTCAACAAAAATGGCATTAACGAGATCTCCTTTATCTGAATTTAGATGAAAGCACTTTATTTCAAAGTACATGTGTTTGTGACCAACATTATTCAGATATAATATTGCTGGGCGGTTTAGTTCATTTTGAAATGGACGACGCAGCCCCAAATGATGCGCATTTTAGTTATGTGTCACTAGCTCCGTGGACCCGGGGAACTTTGCAATCTCCCTGGGCATTCTATTGGGTGAACCTAGGACAGGGGTCTGCAACCTTTAAGACAAAAAGAGCCACTTGGACCCGTTTCCAAAGGAAAAAAAACCTGGGAGCCGCAAAACCATTGCGACATTTAAAACAAATATATCTCCGGAGCCGCGATCTGACAGCGGGTGGGAAGGTGACGTCGGGACAGTGCGTGACTAATGCACACACCGCCCCCATGCGACGTCACAGCCAGTACAGCGCCCGCTACAGTGGGGAGTGTTGGGGCGCACAATGCGCCTCCTCCCCTCGCTAGTATCTGCCCCGGAGCCGCGGGAAAGGTGTAAAAGAGCCACATGCGGCTCCAAAGCCACGGGTTGCAGACCCCTGACCTAGGAGAAAAGGGGCACCTGGGTATTTTCTATCAGGGCAAAGACACATGGAGAAGGAAAACCCCAGAAGAATCTTTGTTCTAGCTTGGCTAGGAACCACTCTATCCTGTGGCATTTTGAGATTCCTCGCTGGGTGGGGTGGGGGTGGAGGTGGGGAAGGGTCTTTTGGGAACTGCACACTGCCTTGTTTTCCAAAGAGGAGTGAATGTTTTTGATGTGGTTCTGTGAATTGGAGGATTGGGCCAGGTTCCTACTTCATGGCTGGTTCACTCGTCCCAAGTTTTTCCACTGCTTTTCAGTCTTCTCCTTGTACAGTATTTATTGCTTGTAATGATTATGATAGCAGAAAGGAATGGACGTTCTAGCAGTGCTGAATGAGACCTCGCTCTTGGAGGATATATGTGTGTGTGTGAAGTGCCAAAAGGTAAGCAAGATGACCGTTGTCTCTTTAAATGAATAAACTCTATTGTTAACAAACTGCAAATAGCCCACGTCTCTCTTATTCAGGGCTGGTGGAAAGTGAAGACCCTTTCTGCACCTTAATCCTCCAGGGTTTGTAGACTCAATCAAGAGCTGGAACTCTTAAACTCTTGTTTCGCCAGATCTCCAGGGCAATGAAGTAGGTAGCAGCTCACAGCTACGCTCCAAAACCAGTTGAGCTGTGTTAATTACCAATTAATATATTGGTTAAGTACAGGAGAATATGATGTACTCCTAACTTCTTGAATGAAGCCTGACTCTCTGTGATGACAGTGATCATTTTATTAGCGGCAGCGTTGGCACACTTAGTTATACTAAGAAGGCAGCGATGGTCTGTTACCCAGTTTACCTACCATGAATTTCACGCAGAATTCTCTTACCATCTCTCTCAAATTCACCCATCTCGTATCGCCGGCTAGCAGCCCCTTCTTGTGATCCAGCCAACTGCTGCTTAACTCCCAGTTACCTCAGTCAACTGTATGAGCTGGGAAAGGCTGCTGTAGTCACAAGTAGCCTACACTGGCCTACATGTTCAGTGGTCTGAGCAATGGTTGCTGTTCTGAGGAAAAGCAGCATATATTTGCATGCAACAGTTTAGTGTTTTGAGATGATGTCAATGAAATGGTATCTCCTAATTTCTGATTCTCCTAAAGCAGATTCTCCTGCTACACTTAACCTATTTTACAATTGTGAGGCCTAAAAACGCCAAGAAAAAGGCGAGACTTTCAATTACAGTGGTACTTCGGGTTACATACGCTTCAGGTTACAGACTCCGCTAACCCAGAAATAGTACCTCGGCTTAAGAACTTTGCTTCAGGATGAGAACAGAAATCATGCTCCGGTGGCGCGGCAGCAGCAGCAGGAGGCCCCATTAGCTAAAGTGGTGCTTCAGGCTAAGAACAGTTTCAGGCTAAGAACGGACCTCCGGAACGAATTAAGTACGTAAACCGAGGTACCACTGTATATCTTTACATAACACTTGATATCCTACAGTCCCTGCCCTATAACTCTGCTGTCCTGATAAGTCAGTAGCAGTAACATTTCATTGCTCCACGCATTGCTAACTTCCCGCGCGCCCCCTCAAAAGCCGGAGCCAGCTGTAGCCTAAAGAGTTTAGGAGGGCATCTATTTGTTGTGCCTCAGGACTCCAGAAACATTCCAGCTGGCCTCCTGCTATAGAGCAACATTAAAGTCCCCCTGTATCTGGTTTGTCTTCAGACAGGTTTACAGCTGGACTAAAGCCTGAGGATGGACAAGGACTTGAAGCAAAGCCAAGGGAGGCTAGTCTTTCAATGGGCAGCTGGATCCCCCTTCAGATAAGAATGCAAAGCACTCTCCACTGGGACCATGAAATGGGTGTGAGCCAGCAGCTAAATGTAGCCAGCATCAGATTTCAAAGTCTTCTGTGAAGCTATAAAGCGAGATCCAGCTGCTTGGGAGTGGGTGTGTATTTAAGCAACAGGGTGCTACTGAAAAGTTTGATGACAAGCCCAGAAAGAAACCAAAGCCCAGTTCACAAAGCAGGCACTTCTCAAACAGCTGCCCTGGGTGGGGATAGAGCAATAGCATATAGTTGATTTACATCATCCAGCTGAAATTCTCTGCAGAAAAGCTGTAATGAGAACTTTCGTGGGGCATTTAGTTTCCCTCCGATTAGCTGAAGACGCCAAAGCTCCCTTGACTTGCTAATTCACTTCCTATAAAACTCACTTTAGTCTTTTGTACCTCAAAATACACCCAACCATTCTCCACCTGGCAAATGGGGGAAATTGCCATTTAACCATGTAAGACCACCAGCTGATCTAGAAATCAATACAGTTAAGAACAAAGCCAATAACGTAGTCACTTGTGCCAGTGTTGCACAAGGAAGTCGGTGCAGCTCTAGTACAAGCTCACTATCCTAATTCCTTGGGTATTAGCCAATACAAGGCCGGAAATCACAATGAAGCCCAAAAAATGTTCAGTTACTAAAGATCATGAACATGCTATTTTAGCAAGCAAATAGTGTTTCAGATACATATAGTAGATGAGTTGCTGGTTCCATGCCCAACACGCAAAGCAGTTTTTTTGTAGACGAGGCCTGTTTGTTATAAGGGCTGCAATTCTGATAACTGAAAATGGATTAGACATATTAGCATTGCTCTAAGAACCCAATTTCCAGGGTTTTTTCCTTTCTCAAAAGCAGCATCAATAGAAGTCTGACTCTGATACCACAGTGGATGTGGGAAGCTTGTTGAGCCCTTCCTCTGCTAGGTTTTGAGAAAACTAATGCTGGAAGGGAGACAACTACAGCCTGAACATCCAGACATTTTCCAGTCCCATTTTGGGTTGGGAATGGTATGTTATGAGACAAAGCCTTATTTTTCTATATAACATCTATTTTTGGGGGGCTGCCATCTTTGAGGTGCACAGTCAAACCTCGGTTCCTGAATGACTCCATTTTGGAATGTTTCGGCTCCCAAACCCTGAAAACCCGAAGTAAATGCTCTGGTTTTTGAATGTTTTTGGAAGCCAAATGTCCAACGCGGCTTCCGCTTGAGTGCAAGAAGCTCCTGCAGCCAATAAGAAGCCGCGGCTCAGTTGTCAAACGTTTTGGAAGCCGAACAGGCTTCCGGAACGGATTATGTTCGACAACTGAGGTTTGATTGTATGTGCTGCTTACCCTTGGGCTTGACTGCTTGAACATACCCAGGACAAAAATGTATACTCATCTGTCTTATGCTCAGCAAAAACCAAATTACTTTTCTTGTCAAACGTATTTCAAAACTTCTCATCTAAACCTTATTTTGGACTACCACTCCATCAACACCAGCCAGCACAGAAAACTGCTCCAGACTCTCTTCATTCTTTTATAGCGTCAGGCCCTAAATACAAGATGTGTAATAGAAACTTGCTGCAGCAGCAGCAGCTGTGTAATTTTAGTGAACAATTGTATTTCATAGAGCCATCCGTCATACTGTCCGCATGCGTAGGATTTACGGCTGGGACTGTCTTACTTTGGCAGGAGAATCAGGAATGACTTCTCCAGATAACCACTGCAAATCAGTTTTCCAGCCATTGATCTTAAGCTTCTAAATATTTGCACCCCATTCTTTAGTCCAGCAATTTGTTCTGGCAGAATGTAAACACATAGCATAAGCATAACTAAACCTACTGCAGCTGCTTTTGAAATCTAGAGAGAATTAAGTGCTACCTTGTCACAAACCTACATCCCATTATGTTGGGGAATACTGCCATCTTGTGAGCAACTTGCCACAATAAATACCAAAGGCAAATTTTAAGCTAGAAAGAATCCAATAGAATAGCAGCGCTTGGATGTATAGAGTAACAAGATTTGTCACATTACATTTCATAAGCAATAGCTTACTTCTGGAAGACCTATCATTCTCCATACAAGCATCTTAGTAGGCCAGCCTGTTCCTTGCTGACAATTTTGGCCATTACAGGTTTTAAGAAGTTAATGCACACATTTTCTTCTTGGATTTAGCCTTAGATATGCCCCACACAGTAAGGACATTGCTGACGTAATGGTAGTTTACATTTGTAATTTACCAAGCATAGACTAACCCAAAGTGTAAATGAAATCCTCGCTTGAAACACAACACAGCTGCCACAAACTGAGGCAACAATCAGAAATAGACCAGATGAGAAATGTCACACCAGATGTCTCTTCCAATAGTCAACAACATTGTATTAGAGGGGTGTGGCGCATCTTTAATTAGCACATCAAACCCTTCCTCCCACTTTTAGACTTAGCTCCTCGTTTCCTCAATATGTCAACAAAATCTGAACACAAAACTGCAAACTCTCTAAAAAGAAGCCTGCAACAGAAATTACACAAAATATGCAAAATAAGCTTGTTGTAGATATTTGTGCCAA